TTTCAAGGAAAGATTTCCAAAATCATATAACAATCTCTCATAAGGTAGCCATAGTCTCGGCCTGATCTGCTTAATTACAATAGAGTCTCCCTACCAGTTTGCTGCATATATCACTTTGTACATTGCTAATATATACAAGTATAAATATGTTCAGCAAAGAAATGCTTTTCCAATTCAGAACATACAAGTCTTGTCAGCAGTACATAATTTCACAGTGCTTGAGCATGGTTATGAAGATCAAGAATGACGATCCTATGATGACTACGGTTTAGCAGTCAGTGTACCAATAAATTATTCTTCTAATCAGGCAACTAACTGTTTAAATCCCACCAACCATGGTCATCTAACATGACTGTTCACAGGTGTGTTCAATCTCAGTAAAAAGGCCTCAGTGTAGTATTCAGGGGTGAGGGCTAACTTATTCTTATGGAGGTAAAATGTTGTACATCTTCTACAGCTCAAATTCATGGTAGGCAGTTAAAAAACCAGCATTCTAAGGGAGAAGAGAAATAGTCTTTATGGTGCAGTGGTTCTCAAACTTTTTGGCCTATGGCCTACCTGGCTCGATGCAAACCTTTCTGTGGCCCATCAGTTGCTAATGGAAACTTGCAGTTAATTACATAATTATGCTGCCCCGTTTTTCTAGTGCTGCAGCTAGGGAGAACAGTTTAATTTAACCAGTAAGAAGGGAAATATTAAATGAAATTATTAAACAGATTAAGCGCTTTAACTTTCTCATGTTAGTTTATCAAACTTCATTTTAAGTAAAGTAAAATATTAATTCCTGTCCAATACAAAAGGTTTCAATGTTGTCTTTATTTATGGCAAGGGTGGGCAACCTTTTTTGTGTTGGGGACCACTGACCCACAGAAAAATCATTTGGGAGCCACCCAAGTGAGAAGCTAAAAGAAACCCTACAAAACACCCTCCAAAACTCCCCAATTCTGATGTGGCCCCTAACTGAGACACCTCACTCCCCTGGCACTCTAGTTCCATGGAGGTGCGAGGAGGGATAGGAAGGACTGAAGTTAAGTCCTTCCCATAGGCCAGATTTTTCTGGCCTTAGTGGATTTTGTGGATCCCCAAAGGAGAGGGTGAAGGTGCAAGGTCTGGGTGGGAGGTAAGGTGCAGGAGCAGGCTGGGAGCAGGGTGTCTGGCCAGGGAAGAAGGGACAAGAGCAAGGGAAGGTGCAGTGAGTGGCCAGGAGAGAGGGTGCAGGAACAGGCTGGGAGAAGGGTGTCTGGCCAGGAGGGAGCATGCAGGAACAGGCTGAGGGCATGTCGTCTCAGTGAGGGGTGCATGAGTTGGGTTAGGTGCAGGGTCTGGGCATGAGGTGAAGGGGGGGTACTTACCTGTCTTTGATTCCAGCCAATGGGAGCAGAGGGGAAAGCTTCTCTGTGCTGCTGTTCCCTCAGCCAGGGGAAAGGAGAGATTCTTACCCATGAGAGAGATCCGACGGGGAGGCTCAGGTCTTTCTTTACCCCCAAAGTGGGAAGCCAGAGCTGGTGCTCCAAACTCACTGGGGGGTGGTCATGAAGCAAGAGAGCCAGAACTGGTCCCTGGCTGCGGAGTGAGAGAAGGAGGAAGGTATGGGGGGAGTGAACTTGAGTCATAAACTACGTGTAAGGTGGACCACAGTTTGAAAACCACTGTTGTAGCATCTGCCTGTTTCCTCTTACTGTTTGATTTCAATCTAGTGCTATTTTTGTTTCACTTCTGTGCAGTGTCCAGTTGTACGGGTAAGCAGGGGCTAAACTACTGTTTGCTATCAGCCTGCTAAAAGGAGAGAGCTTCCCTCGAGGTGGGTGTGCTCACTCAAATTGTTTAGCTCTGCAAGATACTTAACTGTTGATATGTAAATACAGCTCATGCCAGGATGGGGAAGGAATCTGAGGCGTGGTTATGTAAATCAAATTCAGCCAGGGCTGATGGAGGACCAGTGTTGGAATGGAATGTGATGTACTGTAACTAATTTGGGCTATTGGGGGGAGTCACAAATCATGTGACCCCTAAATGTGGGAACTGTAAAATATGACACCAGTGTCTCCTGCAAGCACCATTGGAAGGTAATAAAGTGATAGGGAATAGCCAGCATGGGTTTGTGAAGAACAAGTCATGCCAAACTAATCTGATAGCTTTCTTTGATAAGATAACGAGCCTTGTGGATAAGGGAGAAGCGGTGGATGTCATATACCTAGACTTTAGTAAGGCATTTGATACGGTCTCGCATGATATTCTTATTGATAAACTAGGCAAATATAACTTAGATAGGGCCACAATAAGATGGGTGCATAATTGGCTGGATAACCATAGTCAGAGAGTTGTTGTTAACCTCTAAAAATTTGAAATGTAGGTCAGACCCCTTTGGAAATCTTAGATGTACTCTGTGGACCCCCATGTTGTCCACAGATCACAGTTGAAAAATCACTGTTCTATGGCAACAATGACCTTTTACAGACCCTCATGGACATAGTCTGTGGACGACATGGGTCCACAGGCCTGAAATTGAAAAACACTGGCCTGCACCATTAATGACCCAAGGGAGCCTTATTCTTGAACCTCATTGAAATTTCTTTACATAGTTAAAGAATCTATACTATAAATATTACTGCATCAGAAATAATTTCTGGTAAGTCTTTAAAGTCATTGAGCCAAATTGACTTTAGATACTTGCACACAGCACACTGAATTCAGTGAGAGTTGTACTTGTTAATGTGAAAGCAGGATTTGGACTTTCCTCTTGCGGTATCTATGAGACAATGTATGTGTGCCTGTATCTATAGTGTAGACGCTAAATTCCTTGTATCTTTGTAAAGTAGCCACACTATAAAGCCCTGTATAGACAAAGTGAAAACTGTAGTAGGATACTATGAAGCAACTCCATGGAATATTTGCAATTTCGTAAAAGAAAGGATTTAATGTTCTCCCTTCATTGCTGTACTTTGTAAATTAAATAATCTGGTAATATAAAAATGTATATAGGTACTAGTTCTAGTTATATCTGAGACTAAAAAGCCATTGAAAGTTGTGTTGTGAATGTAATACTATAACCATTTTGAAAGTCTCAGAGAGGTAGCCATGTTAATCTGTAACTAACAAAATTTTAAAAACAACAATGGTCCTGTAGCACCTTAGAGATCCACATGGGTGGATCCTTACAGCTGCTCACAACCCAGCTAAAGTGAAATGTGGGTTCTTCTGCCCACAGATAATATGGCAGGGCTAAGCTGTTAGTGGACTGAGGGCAGATCTACACTGAACCTGGAAGGAAGGCTTAAGGTACACAACTGCAGCTACGCAAAATGCATACTTGGAGTAATCTTACCTTAAGATGAGCCGTGGTGGCGTCCACACTGAGGGAGGCTGACAGGAGCAAAAGCCTCCCATCAGCTTCCCTTACTCCTCACAAAGAGAGGAGCGCTGAACACTGGCAGGAACTGCCTTTAGCATTCGATTTACGGGTGTATACTAGACCCGCTAAATTAAACTGCCAGAGTGTCAATCTTCCAGTAAAAATAGACATACCCTGAATTTCAAGCTACCTCTAATCTAGCCCCAATTCTGCCCTTGAATTACTCAGTAATTAGGATGCAAATCATTAACCACTCTGTATGAAATCTTGCCCCATTCCAATCTGCTGGACTTTTCCAATGGAAAATAAGGCTCAGATTCCATCTACCTGGGGTACAAAGCTAATGCCACCTTTCTCCATCTATGCAAAGCACTGGGGGTGGGGGGTGTCTCAGCTGAACATACTGTATCCCTTCAGTATCACTGTGGCTAAAGCTGGCCCCATTTGCCGCTTCCTTAGCGCCTCAACCCCAGGAGCATGGTGCCTACCCAGGAAGCTCAACATAGTTAGTGGTGAGGGAGCAGCTTGAGCCGATGATGGGATGTGGTACGACAGGGGTACTCAACACGCGGGCCACATGCGACCCGAGATTCATTTGTTTGT